GGCCCCGCTGCCCGCTCTGCCCCGCGCACGCGGCCTGGGGCTCCGGGCCCGCCTCGGACCGCTTACCCGCCGGACCTCGGGCTCCCCTGCTCAGGGCGGCTTGGCCAAATGGGGAGACGCTAGAGCAGCAGAGCGCCAGGGACAGTTGGACACTGGCACAGCTGCTGCCATGGACTTTCTGCGTAGAAATCATAATTTAATAAATCCGTGTTAATGAAAAGGTGGAAGAAAAAGAGCAAACAACAAAAAAAACAGACTGGGGGGTAGAGAAATTGAACTTAATTACTATTTGGCAGAACCTGAGATCGGAAAAAGAGCCAAGGATCTAGAGTATTTTAAAAATTATTTTATACATTTTAAAATATGGAAAAATAACCTGGACGAATCTTGAGAGAATGGAGGGAGTTTCAAACTTAAAAGAATGTGGTTTTTTGGTTGAGATTTTTTTTTTTTAAGAGAAAAAAGATAACCACAACCGACCAATAAGGCAAAACGAAAGAGCTATACTTATTTAAAGAATTAAGATGGGGGAAAAGTGTGCAGCTGGAAAGTTCACAGGTTTTGAAACTGACCTTTTTCTGCGAAGTTCACTTTAATACAAGAAATTTGATAAGAGAGGCGGGCCTCCTTTTACATTGAATCAGATGCTTTGAGTTTCAACCCACCATGTATGGAAGAGCAAGAAGAAGACAGAATATAAACGAAGAGAGGAAGAAAAATTATAATATGAAAGATGATGCCACAAAGAATTCTCTGAGAAATGAGATTGGCAGAACTGTCCCGGACTGCTGACAGCAAATTCTGGTTTGCATGTTACTTGTGCCCTACCCCGCCCTCCTGAACACACTTGCACTCACCCCATTGTCATCCTCAGTATGAAAAACAATACCAAAAGCGTCTGTCAATTGACGCATATAAATAGATATATATATATTATTTTTTTTTCTGCCCTGTGTTTGGTCTTGGGGACAAAAAAGAAAAGTAGAATGGAGAAAATATTTACATTCTAAGGCAGACTCGGGCAGAGACGGTGAGAAAGGCTGCATGGCCCCAATGAAATGGTGGCGGGCCAGCGCCTTGCACGGTGCCTGCCGGCGGAAGGCGCTCAGGAAATGGTACTCCCTGCCCGCTCCCTTTTTCTTGTATTCCCTCTTGCTGATTTCCTGGAGTCCTCTTGGAGGGCCACGCTTTATTTTCCCTTCTCTATCCCCATCAACTTCACCTTAGCACCCAGCTAGATTAGGTACAGGCACTAGATTTGTGTAAAATATGTTGATACACACGAACAAAGTTTATTTTGGCTATAATGTGTGGACTGATGGTTGACTTTCAACATCTGCATTTTATCTCACAAAGGTGTATCTATTCAAGTACTCTTTCTGTTGTTTGTTTCATTTCATGTAGTTATTTAAACTGGGGTATCCTTAGCTAAGCAAACTGTATCCCAATTCTGTAGCAAGCCTTCCTTGGTGTTTGGGGTTTTTCTTCTAATTTACGAGAAAAATGAAAAAGCTCTTCTCATTGAACTTTGGTTTGCGGTTGAGCTTTGTAACTATTTGTTCTCCATGAAAACAAACTTATTTATATTTGCCATATTTTTTCTAGTGTATTAAGTTATTTTAAACGAAAGAAGATGCTGTTATTTCATGATGTGTTGTCGGTACAGAATGTTTCAGTTCACCTCTGTCATTCTTTTTAAATAAGTGCCAAGTTATTCATTGAAGACACTTTGCGATCAATTGAATGAAAATAGTATTGTTTCAATTGATGGGGTTCGCGTCCTCTTTGTTCCTGTTATGATTAAAATACCCAGGATAATCTTCCCTTCTTCCTTTTTGATGAATGTGTTTTTCTCGAATAGACCAACTTGGAAAAGCGCTGGCCTCTCAGCACCAGTGTCCTGCAGTTAAGGGAGTGTGAGCTACCTGGCTTTGTAACTCTAGCTTGGTGCGCAAATGCCAGCACCCCAACCACCCCATTTTATCCACCTCACACAGAACACGGATTGATTTTATACCAAACCAGAAACAAAGTTAAAACAGCAGTGTAACCTCGTACCCCTGAACAGACTCTCATTCCACCTTTTAACTACACGTTCACTCTTGAAGTTTATTTAGAGATATGGGGGGAGGGGTGGAAATTGGATCACTTTATGTGAAATTCTCCTGGATTTGGTGTGAACGCTTTTGGCGGGATGGTCACTCCTCTCCCGCTGCATGGTTCTGGAGCCCAGCAGTCACTGCTTTGGAAAAGGGGCAAGAGTTGGGAAGGGGGAGCAGTGGGGCTGGGGCCTCTGCAGAGGCCAGACACTCCGTCTTCCGTTTTCGTTTCATCACTTTAGTGATTCAGGCGAAGCAGCTTCCTTTTTTTATTCAATTGAGAAAGTGGTTGTCCACACGGTGTTGAGGAAAGACCCTCCATTCCCATCTCTTCTGCCCCTTCTCCCAGGAGAAGTGGGGAGAGAGCGCATCGACGCCGTGACGACTGGGCCTGGAAGGAGAGTGACCCCAGGCCTAAGGGCCTGCAGAGTCGTCCTGCGTCCCAGCCCTGGGCCCTCCTGCGGGCTCCCACTGCCCAGAGCTGCCCCGCGCCGGGACCCGTGCGCTCGTCCAGCCTCGTCCCGCAGCCGTCGGAGACCCCCGCCCAGGCTCGGGCCGCGCTCAGCTTTGGCGAGGCGCCCCCGGGGGCGCAGTCCCCGCTTCCACGCAGACCTCCGGCCGTGCGCCAGAACGCGCTGGGTCAGCCGGAGCCAGGCCCCACGCCCAGGCCCAGCGCGTAAATCGCCTCCAGCGCTGGGGCGGACCCCGACCTACCATCCCGAGGTGGGTCGGAGATCAAGGGAGAAAGTCCGGTTCCGGGGAGCTGGTCCTCCGCCACCGCCACCGCGAGTGCGGAGAACCCGGGGCCCAGCGAGTCCCAGCGAACTTAGGTTAAAGAGGATGGGCGGTGCGTCGACCTGCGGCAGGTGCGCACAGGTCAGCTCAGCCGGGCCAGAGAGGCCCACGGAATCCAGATCCATAACCAAACAGGGAGGGGGGGGTTGGGGAGAAATGATGCATCCTCCTCATCTACTGCGTCTGCTCCCCGATGCTCCAGGAGAACAGTGGCTGCCTTCCCCGGAACCCTCGGGCTTCGTCTCCCAGCGAAGTAGCAGCAAAGTCCCACAGGGCTGGCTACCTTCAGAGATTGTCGAGACCCAAACAGAGTCTGGGTGTGGGAGTGAGGATACCTAACCCGACGAGGAGGTCAGGGGAAGCCTTCACTTTAAATTCAAGCAAGGGCCAGCATGCATGATCTGGTCTTAAGTCAATAATCTTAATAAATTATCAGTAAAAGACACTCCTGCTCTCAACTGTTTCTAGGCGCGCCAAGCGCTGTCCTGACCTGCCAAATTCATGACTGGAGAAAACGGAGTTAAAGGAGATTATCCAAGAAATGACAAGATCCAGTGATACGGGAGGTTCAGTAAGGTCTACAGGCCTTTCTTTGCTGGGAAAGAATCCAAACCAAGGCCATTTGTCCTGGTATCGGCTCCAGCTCCAAGCAGCCCTGCGGGGCAGAGCACCATGGGATTTCCAAAGCCCTAAGTTTCCCCAAAAGTAGATTTCCAAGTCTTTCTCCTGAGGAGCTGCTGGTGGGCTTTGAACTGCCAGACTTTCAGTTAGTAGCCCTTTCCCTGGAGCTGAAAAGATACATATCTATTCTGAGTATTCCCGTCGGATTTATGACTTTTAGATCCTCAGCTGGTAATACTTTACTAGAATGCAATGCTCAAATTTCGGAACTATTTTGATTTCTGAAAATGCTTTCTTGGCTTCAGAGCCATGGGATCCTGTTATTTCTTTGCAAATCAGTTTACATCATAAATTGCAAACATTTGCAATAAGATCTCAAGATTGTTTATTTTGGGTAACCTCAAGCACTTGACTAAGTTAAACAGCAGTGCAGAAAGTCTGTAAAATCATTTTCATTTGTGAGAGAATTAAAGGATCACTCCTTTTCATCACATAAACAAAACACTTAAGAGTGTTTTGATTGTTATCCTCCCAATTTCTTAAACAGTGTTACAAATGACTATTAATTTTAAAGTCCTTCTTCGCAAAAGTAATGACTGAAGTTATATCCTGCTTTAATGAAATGTTTCTGAACAGACTAGAATGATATTCTGCATTGGGAAGTGGGTGTTTGTTTTAACGTCTTATTATCTTAAGTTATTTTAGCTCAAATGTAAATAAAAGTCTGCTAATTCCAATAGGGAGACAATAGCAGGAAATGGCTTCTTAATGTGCAGTTAGAATAGTTAGTCAAAATTCATTAAAGCGACATCACAAATTCAGAAATAATAAACATGTCATTTTAATGAGAGTGTTAACTTATGGATAATTTATTCAAGGTAGTTTTTACATTTCACATGGAATGTCTTATTATGACCTGCCTGACTACTGTGATGCTTGTTTTTCAAAATCTAATTTATATAGGCTCCGGATATACATAATTCATAAACCCTGTTGATATATATATGTATACACACCTCGAATTTTAAATCTTTGCAGTATGTTTAGATGTTTGCTAGTATGTTTTCGAGATGACTGGAATAAAACCACGAAAAGTGTTTTAAGCATCACATTGAAAGCAAGAGCTTTCTCTATTTACAAAAAAGTAGCTGAAAAGAAAAAAGGATTACATAATAATGCTGCAATATTTCAGATAGGAATTTTTTTTTTGTCAAAGGGGTACAAAACTCTCTAAGAAGGACTTACAGATGTAAGCTTTTAACATTTCTGATGCCTAGACAATCTTTTAATGTATCTAATTCCTAAAGCAAACAAAAAGCCCCGTCAAGTCTTAGAATATTTTGTTTTGGATATTTTATGTGTTAGTCAAGGCAAATATTGCATATGCCTTCAGCACAGGAAAATTTAGTAGAGTACTTACACAGAGTTCTATTGGAATGAGGAAAGGTTTTGGAATATCAAATAAATCATATGGCTAAAAGGAAACATCTCCCTCCTTTTTCCTTGTTGAACAACTGCTCACATGTCTTTGTGGGCTCTAATTCAAGCAGAATTGTGTACTGTTAAGAATATGCACCTGGAGTCACACTTGCTTGGTTCACATCTCACCACTGCCATTTATGAGCCCTGCAAGTTCAGTCCAGTCCCTTAATATCGCTAAGTCTCATTGTCTGATTTATTATTTTATCTGTAAAATGGGATATTTTTTTTTTAAGTATCTGCCTCGTTTGGGTTTATTAGAAGGATTGAATGAGTTCATATTTGTAAAGCCTTAGAAGAGTGTCTTGTGTTTAGGAAGCACTGTGTTATATGAGGCAGTTATATATTGCTCCTGTACTCTTATCACCAGCAGTCAGGAAATCAAAAAACAAATTGCATTGGGAAAGTCTACTGTCAGAGACCTCTCCAGAATACGGAAGAGCAACAATATCAGTTTGGAGACTACGGTGCGCCTGATCCAGTCCATGGTCTTCACAATTACTTGCTGCGCATCCAAGAGCTAAGCAATAACTAGGGATGATAGAAGAAGGATAAATGCCTTTGAGTTGTGGTGCTGGATAAAAGTGTTGAACATACCATGAACTGTCAGGAGAACAAACAAGTCTGTCCTAGAGAGGGTGAAACCACGCTGCTCCCTGGAGGCAAGGATTTTGAGGCTCCATCTCATATACTTGGGGTATGTGGCCAGGAGAGACCAGTCCTTGGAGAGAGACATCATGCTTGGAATAGTGGAGGGACAGCACATGAGAAGAAGACCCCAGATAAGATGAATTGACTCAGTGACTCAATTAACTGGAGAAATGGATCTGTTGGAAATTATGGGATTGGCTCAGGAGAGGGCAGGTTTCAGAGCTAACGTACATACAGTCATATGAGTCTAAGGGGACTCGATGGCACATAACAACAACAACAACTTTAGAAGGAAAAAAGAAAGCAGTGCAAAACAAAGAGTAAATATTTTTTCTGTTGAAGGGAAGGGGAAAACATGACCCACCAGTTTATGATTTTAGCAGATTGTTGGAGGATGTGGTGAATGTCACAGTTTAGTGAGAAGGCTTTTCTAGAAAAGCATTTTGTAAATTGCACAGCACTGTACCTGAGAGTATTGCTGTTCTGTTAATTAAATGAGAAATGAACATAACCCTGTCCTCAAGGGGCTTCTTATCTAGGAGTGCACTGTTCATAAATGGTAGGACAGCACCAGGATGTAGGCTCCAAATGCACCTGCTGAAAGGCATCCCCAAACAGCACTGAATGCCCATCTGGCACATGAGGGGATCGGTTGTCCTGTTTCTGAAAACTGAACCTGACTTGGAAATGAGTAGTCTCACAAAGGCACCATGGAGCAACCCCCTGAGGTTATGAAGGGCATTTAGTTCCATTTTTTTTTGACTGTCCTGGTTGTAAGCACTGGCAGAAAAATGCCCAAAGTGGTGGAAAAACGCCTAAAGCACAAAGGCTGCTGATCAAGGATCTTAGACAGCAGCTGAAACCACAAGAAACAGAAAGGAAGAAACAATTAATTTCTATTGTAAAGACCTGCAAGATGAAGAATTGAATCTTATTTACAGACTGTAAATGAAGAACGACTCCTTTCCAATACCTACATGTTAGTTATGTTAGTTAAAACGGGCTTCCTATTTTGTAGGGTACCTATAAAGAGTACAAAATACTTTTTAGGTGTCTTTGTTTAGGAGTCAGTGTGATGTCACAATATATAGCTAATCTTTAGAGCTTTAAAAAGGTTTACATTTTAAGCTATTTCTGGTAATACACATCTTGCACATTGTTGTGAGGATCAAATAAGATGTGTGAATTACCTGACAAACCAATAGGTTTTAATAAATGCACCTAACTTCTCTACTTCAATTATTTTCCTTTCAAATGATTGTCACATAGTGAGGATTTGGAATCAAACCTGATATATGCCTTCCACGAGAAAGAATTCTGGAAAATTTTGGAGAGTGGCATGCATCTTAATTTAAATTCCTTAAAGTGAATATTGATGGAGTGTGTACATATATTTTGTGGCCTA